CAGCTCGTCCCTCCGTGCCAGCTGCGCCACCAGCTCCGCCGACAGCGCCCGGCTCGCCGCCTCCGCCCGGCCCGCGGCCGCCAGCAGCTCCCGCGCCGACAGCTGCCCCAGGCCTGCCCGCGGAGCACAGACCGGCTCGTGTCCCAGGGGACAGCCCTCGGCTGGGGGGTTGGAAGGCACGCACTGCCCATCTCGTCCCACCTCCCTGCCATGGGGCCGGTACAACTATCCCAGGGTGCTCCAACCCAGTCCATCCTTCCAGGGATGGGGCAGTCAGAGCTGCTCTGGAAACCTTGTGGCCTCCCCACCCTCACAGGGAAGTTTCTTGACAATATCCCATCTATCCCTGCCCTCTGGCAGTGGGAAGCCATTCCCCCTTGTCCCATCCCTCCATCCCTTGTCCCCAGTCCCTCCCCAGCTCTCCTGGAGCCCCGTTAGGCCCTGGCAGGGGCTCTGAGCTCTCCCTTTTCTTCCCCAGGTGAGCACCCCCAGCTCTCCCAGCCTGGCTCCAGAGCAGAGGCGCCCCAGCCCTTGGGGCATCTCCGTGGCCTCCTCTGGACCCGCTGCAGCCAGTGCCATGCATGGGGAAACGAGGGCAAAGCCTGGTGCAGTATCAGTGACACCCCCAGAGCAGTCAGTGAAACGCACACTGCAACCATTAAAATGCATCTCGTGCTGAGCGAGATGTGCTCTGCATTTTCTGAGACACCAAGAGATAAACCCATTGTGCAATTACTGATCCGCTCAGCGCCATAAACAACGTGCCCAGAGCAATTCAGGAACTTCCTGGCACCATTAGTGACATGCAAGGTGCACTCAGTGATATTCACAGTGCAATTAGTGACAGGCAGGGTGTGATTAGTGACATGTATGGTGCAACCAGTGACATGCATGGTGCAATTAGCGACATGTATGGTGCAATTATTGACATGCACGGTGCAATTAGTGACATGGTGTGATTAGTAACCTGCACAGTGTGATAAAGAGCAGAGCAATTAGTGGAGAGCCTGGGCTTGTTGGTGACACAGCCCATGGCACTAGTGACAAATCTCACGTGCACAGAACATCCCCATGCACAACACAAAGGCTCCTGGTGAACCCCACGTGCCTTTCCACACCAAAAGCCAGATCCCTGCGTTCTTCACAGTTTTTGCCAAAAGCCCTTCTGGCCAAGTCCCAGAGCACTGGGGCTTGGAGAGACTCAGTTGTCCAATTTGGTTGGAATTGTCCCCACACAGTGACTGGCCTGGGCTTTGCTGGCCGTACCTTCGTGGGAGCAGTTGTTGTTGAAGACAGGGGAGAAAGCATGCAGCTCCCGCAGCACGATGGGCTCCGTGCCCCCGCCACCACCTTTGCCTTCAGCATCAGCCTTGCTTTCTTCCTCCTCATCCTCATCCTCCTCCTCCTCGTCTTCCTCCTCACCCTCGGGGTCAGCCTCGGGGTCAGGTGAACTCTGCATGAGCTCCTCCAGCTCCTCGATGACCTGCAGGGCACCAGTGACCTCCATGTGCACCTGCATCCAACCTGCACCTTGCCTCTGCACCGTGCACCCCACACATCCTGCAGCCACACCTGCAGCTGTCCTGCACCTGCACCCTGCAGCCACACCTGCAGCTGTTCCCTTCATCCTGCACCTGCATCCTCTATCTCTATCCTCCACCTGCAGCCTGCTCCCTCCATCCTCATTTGCATTCTGCATCCTGCACCTGCATCCTCCCCTTCATCCTGCATCTGCATTCTGCTCCCTTCACCCTGCATCAGCACCTGCATTTACATCCATCTGTACCCTGGGTCCTCTATTTGCATCCTTCATCTGCATCCCACATTCCCATCTACATCCAAATCCCACACTCCATGGGCACTGAGGACCTGCATCCACATCTGAATCTGCATCCTGCTCTCTGCACACAGCTCCTCCTCCTGCATCCTGTACTTGCACTTGCATTCTCTATCCTGCATCCACACCCCACATCCCCCTCTCCACACCTCTACCCTGCATCCTGTACCTGCATCTGCATCCTGCAGCTCCATCCCACCTCTGCCCCACACTTTGACCCTTCCCCCCATGGCACCCATTTTGTACAGGCCACCACGTGCACCCAAATCCCACATCAGCACCCACCACCTGCACTTCTGTCTACATCCACATTCCAGGTCCTGCATGCCACATCCCAAGGTGATGGGATTTGGCTTTTTCTTGTGCTTTCAGCTCGTGGTCATGGGGCTGAGGTGGCCAAGGCTGGAGGACACGCAGGGCTCCAGATGCCCATGGGGTACCTGCTCAGCTGTCAGCAGCGGCTCCTCGTTGATCCCAGAGTCCTGCTCACTCCTCTCAGTGAGCTCCTCCTCCTCTTCCTCCTCCTCCTCCTTCCCGCCGAGCTGCAGGAGACACAGGCTGGGCAGCCCTGGTGGCACCACTGGCCTGGGCCTGGCATGGGGGGAGCCACCAAGGAACCCTGGCTTGGGGGGACATGGGGGTGGCATGGGGAGACACTGGGTGGGGACATCAAATGGGGGGACACTGGGTGGGGACGTGCTGGATTGAGGGCATCACATGGAGATGTTGGATTGGGATGTTGGATCTGGACTGGGACACTGGAGACAATGGAAGCACTGGAGGGGGAGGTGTTGCCAGAAGATGGATGGAAGTGGAGTTGCAGAATGCACTAGGGAGACAACAGGGAGAAGCCCAGGTCTGCTGGATGGGGACTGGTGCTGGACACGCTCGGTGGAGATGCTGGGAATGCTGGATGGGGCTGGTGGAGTGGAATGGGAGAGCTCTGATGGAGACACGGGGTGGGGACACCAGATGGGGACATTGCAGAGGGGAACACCACCAGGGAATGGATGGATGGAGATGTTGGGTGAGAAGGCATCTTCTTTTTTCCACCTTTCATTATCTTTTCACCTTTTTAGCAGAAAATAACCCAAGGAAGTTATCTTCTCTTCCCCCTTTAGCAAGAGGCTGTTACATCCAAATGGGTTAAATTCCGTGGATATTGGGACATTTTTATAACCCCAAAAGCAGCGACTGACAGCACAAACTCACGACAAACACATTTCCTACCCCAAAAACACCCACCCCACCCATGACACAGGGGCAAACTGCCAAAGACCAGATGCTAAAATGAGTAGTTTAGCAGTGTCATGATGGTCACCAAGCCTTGGGGCTGATTGACAGCTGTCAATCACTGCCAGGGGAGCGTGTGGGGACAGGGGTGCCACAGCCGTACCTGGGGGTCGGTGCCATCAAGGGCCTCGGTCCCAGGGAGCTGCCACGGCCGGGGGGAGCTCCGGGGGGCAAAGCCATCGGTCAGAGCATCCCAGACCCTGCAGGGAGGCGGGTGGTGAGTGCTGACCTCAAAATGTTGCATCTCAGAGAGACATCCCAAAAACGGCATGCCAAAATGCCACAAAACATCCCAAAATACAGCCCAGAAACATCCTGAAAACAACCTTCAAAATCCTGAAACAGACACCTGAAACATCCCAAAACATCCCAAATGCTATCCTAGAAAACCCCAAATGCTGGAAGACCCCAAATGCTATCCTAGAAAACCCCAAATGCTAGAAGACCCCAAATGCTATCCTAGAAGACCCCAAATGCTGTCCTAGAAGACCCCAAAGCTTCTCAAAATAGCATCACGAAATAACTGCCCTGAAATGCCCTCTAAATGTCATTTTGAAATGCTGCTATCAAAACACTCCAAAAGGCCACAGCAGTGTCCCAAAATGTCTCTAGATGTCCCCAAATGCCACTCAAAAACATCACCATGATGCCTTGAAGTGACCCAAAAATTATCTTAAAGCAGCCTCAAAGCCAAGCTCCAAAATGTCACCCTGTCATGTTCCAAACACTCAACCCCCTCACTGAAATACCCCAGAGACCCCAAAATGTCACTTTTCAACCCCCAGAAATACCCTAAAATACTTTCCCAAATAACTGACCAAAAGAGGAGAAAATAGAGAAGGAAAAGGAGGGGAAAGAGGGAAAAAATGAAAGGGGGAAAACAGGAGAAAAGAGAAAAAAGGGGTAAAGAAGAAGATGGAAAAAGGGGCAAAAAGGGGGGAAAGGGGAAGAAGTGGAGGAAGGAAAATCTGGGTAAAAGGGGGGAAATGGAAGAAAAAATGAAAAGAGGGTAAAGAATGAAAATGGTGGGAAATGGAGAAAGAGGAAAAAAAGGGGAAGAAAGGGAAAGGGGAGAAAATAGGGAATAGGAAAAGAAGGAAAATGGCCAATAGAGAGAAAAAAAACAGGAGAAAAGGGAAATGAGGAAAAAGAGAAAATGCTCTTTTTTTTTGCCTGTTTTTTTCTTCTGTTTTTCTCCTCCATTTCTTCCCTTTTCTCCACTTTCCCTGCCATTTTCTCCATTTTCCCCCTCATTCTCCCTTTTTTCTTACATTTTCTCCCCATCTCAGGCAAACCCCTCCATTTTCCCACCAGAATGGTGGGTTCAGTCCAAAGTGGTGCCACATCCAAATCCATTTTCCCCCTTTCCAACTCCAAAACTGCTCATTTTTTGGCATTTATTATATTTCTCTCCTCACCAGGGCTGAATTCCCCTTGGAATTACAGATTGCAAAAATTAACATAGAGAAATGTGGATGCCAAATCTTAAATACTTATTTTTTAACAAAGCACAGCAAATTAGTAATTATCCCCCCCCAAAATTTGCTTTTTATTTATTTTTTTGTTCTTAAAGGACCAGCACCCCACAGATGCAAGCTGAGACCAACAGTGATTTCTGAGTTAATTATGGCAAGAAATGGTTAAAAACTCTGGAAATTCAGTGCCTGTGAGGATGTGGCCCCTCCCCCAGTCTGCACACAGGGCTCATTCAAAGAAGACTGAAAAAAAAGCCCTGTTTTGCCCAAAGTGACCCAAAAAAAGACACAATAAGTGGCACAAAGCGGCGACAGCACGGCAGCCCCGGCGTGCAGCCAAGCTGCATTTTGCTCTGAAAAAACCATGAATTCAACCAATTGCAAAAATCAATTCAGCCTCAGTGGGTTTGGGGGGAAAAAAAAAACCAAACAGAAACCAACAAACCCGACAGATTTGGGGCTTTTTGGGTTGAAAGCAACCCCTTCGTTTGGTGGAAGTAAGGGTTAGCAATTTTGGAATAATCCCGATTAAACACACAAAAAATCCACTAGAAATGTGATTGTGTGTAATCATCGTGAGGAAAAAGCCCAAGGATTTGCAGGAAAAAATGGCATTTTATAAACCAAGGTTTTTAATGAAACTGTAGAATTTAACACAAAAGGCACAGGAATAATTGGGGGAGCCTAGAGGGGAATTTCACCTTAGGGAATTTGGCCATCCCCTAGCATGGTACAGAGGGGGTGGCTGAACTCTACTCACACTTTACTCAAGGTTTATGCTCAGCCCCTGAGGCTTTGCTTGCACAGACAGAGCTGTGGCCCCCTGCAATGTGGCAAGGGGCCACATTCCTCCTTATAGGCTGCTACTCCAAGGATCCCACACAGCTACTCCAAGGGTCCCACACAGCTACTCCAAAGTGCTGTAGGGTCACAGCACAGCCCAGGCATGGATTTGCATGATGGGCTCATGGAAGAGTGCAAGGAGGTGCAACAGGCCTTGGAGGGGTGTTACTCATAGGATACTACATCACTACTCCGCAGTGCCACACAATCATGCTGTGAGCAGGACTGCACACTGGGAAAGGGGAGTATCTCACCACCATGACAGGATGCATGAAGGCCTGAGGGTGTCCTACTTATAGGATGCTACACAGCTACTCGAAAGATACTCCCCAGCTATTCCACGCTGCTGCGTGACTGTGCTGTGGTGCAAGGGGCTGAGCATGCAGACCCTTCCTCACAGGATACTACAGCGCTACTCCTGACACGGAGCATGGCCATGCTGCAGTGCTGGGAGTTACCCTGGGCTGGGGGGGTTCAGGGTTTGCAGAATGGCCCCAGGAGCAGGGGGGCCTTACTCACTCCTCATCCTGCAGGCGCTCCTCCTCCTCCTGCGCCTGGAGCCGCCCCCGCACGGGGGCCAGGCCCTCGGTGGCGGCGTCGTAGTTGCGGAAGCACACGGTGAGCTTCTCGTCAAACTCCTGCACCAGGTCCTCCATCGACTTGAAGCTCATCATCTCGGCCGAGAAGCTCTCCAGCTCGGCCAGCGCCGGGTCCGCAGCACGCTGCAGGGACCCCCCATCGTCCCCGGACCCCTCCTCAAACTCCTCCTCCAGACTGACCAGGGGCGCCTCCATCCTCCTCAACACCGATGTGCTGCCTTAGCTGCAGGGACAGCGTGCCCGTGAGGCACCAGGCTACTAACAGCTTACAACACCCAGCTCCCCGTTCCCTTGGCTGCTGCTGCGCTCACTGAAACCCCACTGCCAGGGCTGTTACACAACCACCAGGATCTCTGGAGTATCCTGGCAGTATCCCAACAAGATGTACTCCCTTCAGAAGAAATATTCTGATATTGTGGCACTATTCTGATAGCAATTTCCTAGTTGTAACAAAGTGCTGGTAGTGCTCCAAGCAGCTTAGTGCTACCCTGATAGTATTGTAAAAAATGTCATAGCACTAGCTGCTTCCCTGAAGTGGTAGCATCTCAGTTGTATCCTTGTATGATATCACCACTAAGCAAGTGGCCTGAATGGATCAGTAATGTGCTGACAGAGTCCCAAAAATGGGAATGTTGCCCTGGTGTATCGTACCAGCATCTTTTCTAGTGTCCTTGTAGCATCTTGGAAGTATCCTACAGATACTTTAGGATAAAAATGCACTTTTATCCTGAGAGCATCCTACTGGAAACTGGCTCCTGCACCTCGGTAACTTTGTGCTAACATCCTGGTACTATCAGTAGTATCAGTACTGTTGTGTCCTAGTAATGACCCTGTAGTATCTTAGTAGTGCCTCATTAGCAATGTGATACTCTGGAGTATCCAGAATGTTACCCTGATAATACTCAGCAGCATCCTGATAGTACCTTTGTGCTACACTGAGAGTATCCTAGTAGCAGCTCAGCATTGAGTGTTGTACAGTTGGTGCTGTACTAGCAGAGGAAGGAATATCCTGATTCTATGTCTGGAGCATCCCAACAGCATCCTGGTACCCTGATAGTATCACAGTAGTAGATAGTGAGTATCCTGGTAGGATCCTAATGGTGGTGTAATGGGGTACAGCTGTTACCCTCAGAGTGTGTTGGTGAGTTCTTACTACCATGTAACTACACTGAAAGCAACCTGAACATATCCTGAGAGGAACCTTGTGTGAGCTGCTCCAGTGACACCTTCATATGAGTACCCCAATATCAGCTCTGGAAATATCTTAGCCTGATAGTACCTTAGTGGAGCTCTTGCAGCACCCCAGTAGCATCTACATAGTATCCTAAGAGTAGCTTAGTGCCACTCTGGAAGTGCCTTACTGCTCTCTGTACACATTCTAGTAAACTCATAGCATCTCAGTAGTATCCTGAGAGCATCTCAGCTGTGTCTTGACGGTATTTCACTACTCCCTCAGGAGATCACTGAGAATATCCCAGTAGCATCCTAGCAGTAGCCTCAGAGGAAGCAAACAGTAACTCAGTAGTAAGCCAGGAGCAGCCCAGTACAGGGGTTGGTACCCCAGCTCATTCCCCCAGCTCCGGTGATGCTTCCCTGGGGAGTGGAGCACAAACATCACAGGAAAACCTTCCCTGAGCAAGGTTTTGAGTGAGTTTTGCAGCTGTGTGCAGCGCGGGCACACCCCCATGCATGTGTGCCCCCACACGCCTGCAGCACACACAGGGCACACCTGCAGGTGAGCCCGTCCTGCCCTGCAGCACACACACAGCAGTGCACACGTGCATGGAGTGTCTGTGGACAGATGCATGCGTGCTGCAGCACCGCACCTGTGCTGGGCTGCACACACACACACTGCACACACACACTGCACACACACACACACACACTGCACACACACACACTGCACACACACACACACTGCACACACACACACACACAGTGCACACACACACACAAACACACACACTGCACACACAGTGCACACACACACAAACACACACACTGCACACACACACACTGCACACACACACACACTGCACACACACACACTGCACACACACACTGCACACACACTGCACACACACACACTGCACACACACACACTGCACACACACACTGCACACACACACACACACTGCACACACACACTGCACACACACACTGCACACACTCACACTGCACACACACACTCTGCACACACACACACACACACA